CCTGCATGCACGTGGGGGACCGGAAGAAGTTCCTGGCTCCTAGCTTCAGATCAGTGCAGCAGCAGCCATGGTGGTCGCTTGGCTAGTGACCCATCAGATGGAAGATCTTTCTCTCTGTCTCTTCTCCTCTCTATCTGCCTTTGTGATAAAAATAAAATAAATCTTAAATAAGATACACTCATGCTTCACCTTCACTAGCATTATATCCCATTATAGTCTAAAGCTCCAATAAATCAATCAGCATGTTCTTAAGTCTGTTTGAAAGAGTTACAGAGGGAAGGTGAGCCGGAGTGAGTCTTCCACCCACTACTTCACTCCTCCAGATGGCGCAAGGACGGGGCTGCAGGTGCCGGCTTTGCTCACTCCACCACAACGCTGGCCCCCCGCAGTCATGATTTACCAACCACTCGGAAACAAATTCATGTAAATTCTAAGAAGAAAAGTGATCACAGCCGCCCCCGCCCTGAGCCCTGATCTCTAAACAGAAAATATGGGAGCTGGAGTTATGGCTGTGACTTAATATCAGCGTCTTTCCCATTTTTAAGCATACAAATCAACAGTTCAGTCACACTAAGTTAACTCGCTGCCAAACAAATTGAAATTTGTGCAGTATTTTGGTTACACACACTTTGCATGGACCTTGTTTATAATCATCTGCCTCTACCTTATCAAATAACAGAAAGGGAAAGACTTGCAAGTGAGTTAAAACTGAAACACGGTTCGTGCGGAAGGGACCGGGGGGCTGCAGAAGAGTCATGGAAAATGTGTACTGCGTAAAAACTTCATGCATGTTGACACTTTTGTCCTAAAATAATCTCTTATGCGTTTTTAAGATCTACTTGAAATATCCTCACGTATCTACAAGAAATTAAAAAAGGAAAGTAAAAGTAGAAAAATAGATCTTAGCAGTTATCTGTAAGCTTAAGACAAGAAAGAAGACCGATTTGGGGAAATATTGATCAGAACAGCTATTAATGTTCTTGGAGAACACATAGTATTTTAATAATGGACACAGAGTGCTCAATATTAGATGGATAGGGTCCAGTGTGGTAGCCTAATGGCTAAAATCCACACCTTGCACATGCTGGCATCCCATATAGGCACTGGTTCTAATCCTGGTGGCCCTGCTTCCCCTCAATCTCCCTGCTTGTGTCCTGGGAAAGCAGTCGAGGACGGCCCACAACCTTGGGACCCTGCACCTGTGTGGGAGATGGGAAGAGGCTCCTGGCTCCTGGCTTTGGATCGGCTCAGCCATTGCAGCTGCTTGGGGAGTGAATCATCGGATGGAAGGTCCTCCTCTCTGTATATCTGATTTTCCAATAAAAATAAAATAAATCTTTTAAAAAATTAGATGGGTCAGTTATGAATAAAAGATTTTTAAGACACAGGTTTTTCTTGCAAGGAATATCTAGACAATTTTTTTTAAGATTTATTTTTATTAGAAAGGCGGATATACAGAGAGGAGAAACAGAGAGGAAGATCTTCTGTCCAATGATTCACTCCCCAGGCAGCCGCAACGGCTGGAGCTGAGCCAATCCGAAGCCAGGAGCCTCTTCCGGGTCTCCCACACGGGTGCAGGGTCCCAAAGCTTTGGGCCATCCTCGACTGCTTTCCCAGGCCACAGGCAGGGAGGTGGAAGGGAAGTGGGGCTGCCGGGATTAGAACCGGTGCCCATATGGGATCCCGGGCATGCAAGGCGAGGACCTTAACCACTGTGCCACCGCACCAGGCCCTAGACAAATTTTTTAAATTCAGTTTTAAAAAGTAGAACAGTCTTGCATGAAAAATAAGGTGACATAACTTGAAAATTAAGATGTAGTATTACTTTCAACAGAGGATTTTCAACTGAAATATCTCCAGAGGCTAGAAACAAGTAAGGAAAATTGGTCAAATATAGAGTACATTCAAGGGCCCAGAGCAATAGCCTAGTGGCTAAATCCTCACTTTGCAACCCCCTGGAATCCCATATGGGCACCAGCTTCTGTTCCAGCTGCTCCAGTTCCCATCCAGCTCCCTGCTTGTGGCCTGGTAAAGTTGTCAAGGATGGCCCAAAGGCTTGGGACCCTGCACTCACACAGGAGACCCAGAAGAAGCAGCTCCTGGCTCCTGGTTTCGGATCAGCCCAGCTCAGGCTGTTGTGGCCACTTGGGGAGTAAACCAGAAGACAGAAAATTTGTCTCTCTTCTCTCTGTAAATCTGACATTCCAAGAAAAATAAATAAATCTTTGAAAAAAAAAACAGAACATATTTAAATAAGGCGGAGCACTAAAATAAAGCTTCATTACTTTCTCTCCACTCAAAGATGGCATCCGGGGAAAACACACATAAATCAACATTGGCAGGATGTTGGTAGCTTCTGGACGTTGGGCTCCATCCCTCCTGGAATCACTACAGTGTGACCACGCTGTGATCCGGTCTGTCTCTTCCTCTCACTCACAGCTGAACTGTTAGCGCCCTCTGCTGGAGGACTTGAAGCCCTTTGTCCGGCTTCCGAAGACAATGTCTCTTGATGCCCAAGTCCTCCATGGGTCACTTCTGTTAATATTTGTTTCTATGTTGAAACTATGATTTTTAGCCGATTCTTGTGATCTTTACTGCCATAGGAAGGACTTCTAGGAAATTGCTGGGAGGTCCTGGTTGGCTACCTCTCTTATTAGAGACAATGTTGCATCAAGAAAGTAGGATGATATATCTTTATCCGATCTCCAAAACCCACGGAGTTTAAACTAAGCCAGGACGATCAAGTCTAAACTAGATCCCTTAGCTGCCTCTTTTCTTACATTCCTCTCCTTATTTCTAAGAAAAGCTGCCCTTTCCTGTGTTATTTAATAAGTTCTATAAAAAAAAATCAATCTTTTTTTTTTAACTGAATAAATATTAGATCACTACACATACAAAACTCTTGATTTTGGTCTATTGTATGGCTTGGGTTCAAAGTAATACACTGATATGTATGAATAATAATTTGAAATTAAAGAGTTACATGAGTAAACAAAATATTCAAACATGCCAATACAGACACACACATATCCTAGGATCAAAACTAACCATTTTAAACAAGGAAGTTAAATTTCAACAGCCAAGCTGACAGATGGGTAGATCAGCAGCAAAAATTACAGCAAACTTCAAGTTTGAAGTTCTTCCTATGTATGTTAAATAAATATACATAATTTTGTATAAAATCTGACAATATTTGAGTAAATGTATAATGTTTATATACAACTTTTGCATGAAAGTACAATAATATTCTCTTTAGAAAAGAAGATGGACATGGCTAAACTTTGTCAGTGAATTGCATGTCTGTTGCGACTTATTTTATTCTACCTGAATAGAGCAGTGACCCGTCCCACGCTACCTTCCTCCAACATTTTCCTTCCTTTTTTTTGCTGATTTGCTTTTTTCTGCATGATTATATATACATATGTATGTATGTATGTATATTTGTATATGTGTATATATACAAATTTATCACTGAATGTTAAAATTTTCTGTATTTTCTTGGAAGAGCTACAGAAAACAGCCAACTTATTTTTCTACTATACTGTACCCAAAGATTAAATAACTGAATGATTTTCTGTAACCTGTTTATAACCTGTTATTTTCTGAATTTCTTATTTAAAGAGCTTATTAAATGATTCTCCAGAGAGTGCTTCTTCCCATTTAAGGTGTATTTTTGAACTATTGGCAAGGTCTCAGAAACCTAACAATATTGGATGCCAAAAGTACCAACTTTAAAATATATATATATATATATATATTTATACTTATAGAAGCATATTCCCACCCCCATAGCATTTACAAACCAATGTCTGGGCTTTTGTGTGGCAAGCTGTGTTTTGACGAGTATGATAAATGCTGAAAATACAGAATTGGAAGCATTCAAAGAAAGAAGGTAGAACTATCCTGTAAACACACATCTTTGGGATGGAAAGGAAGACTCTTGATGGATGCTAAAGATAGGGAAGGAAAGAATAAAAGAAAAGGAGAGTCATATTTAGGAGAATAGTTGGGGCTACAGTTTGAGCATTTAGAGCAAGATAAGAGAAATAAGAACTCCAAATAAAACTTATCATTTCCAAGAGGCCACAAAGATTTGAAGATAAAAACCACAGCATCTGAGTTATACATCAACTTTCTCAGAGTCTACTTTAAAATGAATGCAATTATTTTCATACAAAATAAATGGCTTATTTATCCATAGATTACATGAATCCCTTGTGCTATAATTGGATATATTTTGCATTAAAATATTTCAGTATTTTAGGTGTTAGAGTATACTTTTCAAGTATCTAATTTAGTTAGCTTGAGGTCTTTTTTTTTTTTCTTTTTACAATTTAACATAACCTTGACTAATGAATCTTTGTTCATTTGGACTCAATAATTGGAAATCACTGACATTTGCAATAGTGATTTAAGAATAAATTAATTCTTGTCTACAAAAGTGATTTTTCTGAAATACTCTGGTTACAATGTAAAATACCTATCCCCCTTAGGTACATCTTGGATGGTTTACACTCCAAAAGTCCAAGTTACACCCAAAACGCCACTCCCCTAGGCTGACTCATCTGGACCACAGACACGCAGGGCTAGTCTGAAAGCGACATAGAGATCAACTGGGACTCAGCCAAGTGAATCATCCCTTCAACATGCGAAACCTTAGAGGAGACAACAGGGAGAATATATTGGTTGTTAGGAAAATATAGGTTACTTGTGGAAAATGACATCCTCTATTAAAAAGATCTAAGGAGTGACTCACATAATTGTCCTAATTTTTTAAGATTGACGGGAAACATGTGATAGGTTCCAATAAATACCTAAAGCAAATCGGACTGCAGATGATTTTAGAAAGGGATTTTCATAAAGAAGGTGGAGATCCCAGCTCCCTCCACCATGTCTCTATATATAGGCCTGATTGTGTGTTTTCATGCTTTCTGAGAACTGCCTCGACAGAGCATCTGAGCTGGACGAGTGGTTTTGATCTGACTGAGCTAACTGGCACTATGAAAATATCAGGTGTCTTTCTGCTCCTCTCTCTGGCTCTTTTCTGCTTTTTCCCAGGTGAGTTTTTTTCCCTTAAATTTATAATATCAACTCTTCACTGAACTAGAGATGTCAAGAGTAAGTGTAACATATTCAAAATTCTAACAATTTGATAAGAAAAAACAATGAAAGAGATCATCTTACCAGTATTGATTATGAACATGGCAATGATGATGATAAAGTGGTTGCCACTCATTAAGCTTCAATAAATGAGCATCTAGAGACTTTTCTGTATAATCTCCAATTTTCTATTCTGTATAATCTCATATTCCTATTCTACTTCAATGAAGTGGACACTAACAAGTTAACAAAATGGCCAAAGAACTTGCAACTAGTAAAATTTACCTCTAATTTGAATCCAGATCACAGCTGATATTTGTTTCAAAAAGCAGTCCAGGGGTGGGTAATTGCATTACATACTAACTAGACTTTCCAATGCAACAGAGAACTTCTTTGTTCTTCACTTTTTGTTACAAAGACACTCCCAAAATTAAAACTGAAACAAGGAAAAAAATGAAAACTCAATAATGAAATCTATTGAATCTTTGAGTGAAAAAAAAAACATGTATGTTATTGCTGAACTAAACGTTTTTTCCAAGAGAAAACATCTTTGGTCACTTGAATTGATAAGGTGGTTCAAAGCAGATGTTCGAGGTGATGTTTTTCATCACAGGACCATCAGAATGGATGGCACGTGTGAATCTGTTCCTTCCCTTTCACAGTATTCCTCTCTTGTTATTATAGCGAGCAAAGCAAAGTTCTAGGTGCTTCCGTGTCTCATGATTCTTGCCTGTGACAACAGCAAATGAATTCAGCAATGAAAGATTTTAAATTACACAATATCTGAAAAACATTTCTTCAGTGAGTCTTAGCTTCTGGAAAATCCATCCCTCACTGTTGCTGCTCATGTTTATGTAAACAAATGGATTTTTTAATATGGAGAAATAACTAAATGATTCTTGGTAAATTATTGGGTGAGCTTTGATAGTTCAATTAGCTATTAAGATAAACATATCTATATTAAAATTTAATTGCAAAAAGTAGATCTAGAATCAATTACTACCAGCACACTGCATCTCTTCACAAAGGCAAACTGAACTTTTGAGTACTTACTGTGTACCACAGCGTCAGTAGCTCATAAATACGACATATTATTCAGAGGGACATAGTGCCTAAGAGCCTTGATGTTCAAACAAAAAACAATTTCAGTTCTTACATTTCCTTAGAGCTTTGCGACCCTCCCAAGCCCAATTTTCCTAATATTTAAGATAAAGATATAAAACAATTACTTCCAGATGAGAAACTGAATGAGGAAAAAGCACGTGAGCTGCTTTGCTAGTAGACGGAGCATAGTAAGTATTGTCCAATGTCCATAAATAAGGCCATTATCACTGTGAAAATGGAATTGAAACAGTCATAGATTGGACTCAGACATTGCCAACCTTGGTCTGAGTCTGCTGTGCCGTGTTCCACAGACAAGACGTGGGGCCAAACTCTGCTCCTCCATCACCATTTTGTGCAGGAAGAATCAACAGAAAATGAATGATTTTTCCCTGTCTATAATAACCACTGGGTGGATTTACAAAAATATAGATTCCCAGGCTCTGGTTTTACGTAATGGAATTTTCAAGGAATTACTCTAAGAATTTGTTCACTGGTATCACTAAGAATCAGTTCACCAGTAGATATGAACTGATGAGTTCAGTAACCATCCTGAGAAAGAACCAGTAACTTCCTTCACAACTTAGAAGCCTCCTTTTGCCTTTATCCCACGAGCAGAGCTAGCTTGCTGAGGCATCTTCAGTGCTTCTGCCATGACTGCTGACCTGCAGACAGACTGCGCTAAGCTGCAGTCTCGCTGAGGGGGGTTTGGATTTTCTTGGACAGCTGTAGCTGCTGCACTAGGCACTCCTCAGAAACAGTCATAGATGAAAATTCAGCAGCAAATTCCAGAATTGGATCTAGGATTGTTGCAATCTCAGTATATTAAAGCACTGAGTTCATTACAACAACCGAAAATCACAAAAGAGAAAAGAAGTAAGGAAACAAGATTGTGTGCATTTATTGTTTTTTTCTCTTTATGAATTTAGAGAGGCATAGAAGTAGAAGTGAGTCACAGGAAAGAAATCAAGCTGATCAACACCAGCTTACATTTGAGCCAAGTCTGGGATTCTATACAAAGCCACAGAGGAGAAACTGGTATGATGGCACAGTGGGTTAAGCCACTGTAACCCATTGGAAGTTCTGATTAGAGTCTCAGCTACTCTGTTTCCAATCCCACGCCAGTTAATGTATCCTGGGAGGCAGAAGAGCCACCCTGAAGGGAGAAGTGACTGGAGCTCTGAGCTCATGGCTGCCTACTGTTCCAGTTTTGACTGTAGCAGGCACTCTGAGTGAGCCAGCACTTAGCTGTCCCTGCCTCACTCTCATGCCGTTCCACTCTGGCTTTCTACCTTTAATGGATAAAAAAATAAAACATTTAAAAAATAAAGTACAAATGAGCAATTTTGAGCTCCGGAACAAATACAATTACTTTCCTGATTTCTGGTGATTCTTTGGGAGGAACTTCATGGACTGTACCTCAACATGTTGATATTTGAAGACATGCTCCAATCCAACTTCTCCAGACGAGATCAGAGATGACAGTAAATTAAGTACAGGGCCGAGTTGCCCATATGAACCTCCACATCCTACATTTTCACCCACCCCCTACAAGCCTTCTACAATTGCTGTTTCTTCATGAGCAATGTTTGCAAATCATCACCCTGGTAAGCAGGTGTTCCACACTGAAACAATGTGCGATGGTTCTTTGAGATTGCCAAAAGCCTACAGTTACTACCGGGGACCATTTTCCAATATTGTAAATCCTGCTTTTTGAAATTCATAAATTACAATGTGCTTTTGTTTTGCTGTTTCTTTTTTTAGGTGTTTTGAATCAAGAGAAAAAGGTAAGTGACTTTTTTTATGTTTTATTAATCTGCTCCTCTGATCTGGATGCTAAGTGGCTGGTATTCTTTGGCAAAAAGAGGTTTGTTTGTAGGTAAAAGGGCACAAATAGTGAACAGGTCCTTTTATCAGGCCAAATGCAAATGTTAATCAAAATAATTACTTCAAAAAATCTAATCCTATAAAAAGAAGGAAACTTAGAGTTTTGCTTCACTGCTAACTTTTTAATGTTTGCTACACAGATGAGGCGGCTGTAGGCTCATGTGAGCCCCTGAATAAGAAAGGAGAGGGTTGGGGGAGAAATGGACAGGGGTGGAAGGTGGACGAGATAAATGTTTTGGTTTTCCCTCCTGTGTCTACAGTGGGAAAGACAAAAATTGACTCAAATTTGGATACACTGCACAGTTTAAAAATGGAAATGGAAGCAATTTGTCCTCCTTGGGGACTTTTTATTTTCCAAACTAACTCATCAACTTCCTTTGAGTTTTATATGTGCTGTCTGATGACAGAAGAGTAAGTGCAATTTGCTCCGCCCCTGTTCTCTGTCCATAGCAAACATTTTTAAGGGACCCTGGGACTAGTTTTTATTTACTGTTGCTGTTCCCGAGAACCCTCTGTATAACAATTTCCAGACACGATTGCCAATTGACTGGAATTGGCAAAGAAATGGAAAAATATTCACCAACCTCATACACCACAATATGGCATGAAGCTGAGCACCCCCACTTGTTTTTTTTTTTCATTTTTTAGGATCACATATTAAAATGTACCTTACATTTAATAGTGCCTTACAATTAACTGCCCGCAGTGTGTATATGTGTGCACTTGTCTGCATTGGTACATGAAGCATTACATCTCAAAATTAACTTACTATGTTTAGGATGGCAGCATAAGCGATATTAACTATAAAATACATATGAGAGGACATGACAGTTAATGTGTTTTTCTTCATCCCATTATGTAGTACATTAGAATGATAAAACTATTACAAACAGATTTAAAAGACACAATTCCATCTGTTTTCTCATTAACTTGGGAGTCGCTGCCTTTCCTTAGGCTTTATTTCCTCGTGATTTTAATGTTTTCTAATATTCCCTTGAAATACCCTACTTCCTGACTATTTCTTTATGTATCTTGTGACCTGCTTATTTCAGGGTCACTTAAATTATTTAACCATGGAAGAGATTAACTAATAGCAACATGGGATATAAATTTGCACTCTCAATAATTATCCAGAAGATGCTTGCACACAAGAAAATCCAAGTGTGCTTTCCTGGGTAAAACAGTAAAGGCATTCCTGGGGAGCGGCGACTCTGGGGTCCGACGAGAGTGCAAATATTTGCTATGTGGTCCGTGGACTCTCTCTTCCTTTCTTACTAATGTCCCTAAGACAAATTTTGGGATTCAATGATCTCCCCTGCCCTAAATATTTGAATCACTATGAACCAACTCTATTTCCAAGGTTGCCGTCCAGTCTCCACTCAAATCTATAAACGACAGAGAGGGGTCACTTCTCTGCATGGCTAGAAGGAGACAGACTCTCAATGCTCAGTGGAAGAACTTGAAACTGAAGTTAGGAGCATGCCTGTTCAAGTCTGACAGTCAATTGGCTGTTCAACTCTGATATCCAGCCAAGACAAAATAATTTTCTCCATGAAGAAACATGTAGTGGGAGATTATGATTAGCATCTAAATTATGGCCCTTCAAGACTGTTGTAGTCTTTCAAAAAGATTATTTATGCTTCTAGAACTCAGGTTACAGCAAAACATTTTTTATTATATATGATTGCAAGTCTATTGCTCACTCTTTAATTTGCCAAGTATGTATGTACATTAAATCACATAACAGTAAAATAAAACTGTTTACCATCCCTAGAATTCCATTAAAGATGTACTGCAATACCAAATCGCCAAAATTTGGCAGGGGAGGGGAAGATTTATTTATTCCTTCGAAAGGCAGAGTTGTGGAAAGAGGGAGAGAGAAAGAACTGTCCACTTCTGGCTCACATCCCAAATGGCCACAATGACTGAGACGGTGTCAGGCTAGAGCCAGGAGCCCAGAGCTTCCTGCAATTTAAAATAAGGTCACTTGTCTCCACACATCAGAAAAGATTTCAAAGTAATAGGAAAATACTTGCGTTGATTCTGATAATAAGTGTTGATAGTTGGAATGGGTAGTGAATCTGGAATTAGCAAAGAGGCCTAGAGGTTAAGACACAGAAAAGGCACCACTACCCAGAGCAAGAAATGGCAGCATTGTCCACAGGGAGGTTCCTCCAGCGGAAGAAGCAGTTACGAAAGATCTGAAGCACAAAACTAGTTCAAAAAGAATAGTTACATTTTGATTACATATACATTTATGAATCGAGTTATTAAGGTTCCATGTAGATGCAAATCACTGAGAACCAAAGCTTGAGATAAGGAAGTAAACTCAAGAAAATAAAGTCTTAGATTCATCTGTTCTTTTTGTGAAAATATATGTTCTTAGGAGGCAAAAATCAGGTGTATATAACCACCTTGTCACTGATCATAATTGATACTCAGTAGGAAAAATAGAAGACGGTGAACTGAAGAAATGGCTGGACAATTCACTAACCAAGGTTTGCAAAGGCTAAAGTGACAAAGAGCAGCACGTATACAAAAAGTTATGAGTTATACAAATGGCCAGAGAGGGGTTGGCCCAAAAGGCCCTGTTTTAAAAGTGAGAATAAGAAGGAAAAGGGGAAAATTAGCCAGGGCTGGGCTAGTGCCAGGAGCCAGGTCTCTCAGCAGGTGTCAGGGGCCAAGCACTGAGCATCAGCCCCCAGGATGCAGAAGAGAGAAGCTGTACTGGAAGAGGAGTTGCTGGGATCCGAATAGGCAGTCCAGTCCAGGATATGGGCATCTGAACACTGATCCCAGAAGGCAACATTTTTGAGAGCAGTTTCAGAGGAGCAGATGGGGCAAGAAAGCAGGGAGAGTGCAAGTCAAGGCAGGACACAGTGTGTGGGAGATCATGAAGTTGATTCCACCCTATGGATGTTTTTCAGCGAGGGGAGAACAGATATTATTCTTCATCCCAAGTTGGTGTGTGTGTGAGAGAGAGAGAGAGAGAAAGACAGAGAGAGAGACAGAGAGACTGCAATTGGCTTCATTTGTAACCTTAAAATAATAGACTAAAATATTCCTGATATTGAGCCTTCCATTGCCTTAATGACAATATAAATACAGTTTTTCAAGCAAGTCAAATTATTTTGTTGTCATAACTGGTAAAGATAACTGATTTAGGGACTAAGATTACTTTTCCAAAAAAACAAATGCACACCAACTTTCGAGAGGTGCAATTCCAAGAATATCCACAAGAGGGCAGGCTGATTCCTTTGCACAGTAAGTTTTGTGGAATTTGAAATACCTAGAGATAAACTGCGTTTCTTGCTGAATCCAAACTCAACCTAAAAAAAGATTTCAAAAAAAAAAAAAGAAAGAAAGAAAGAAAGAAAGAAAGAAAAAAAGAAAAAGAAAAGAAATCTCACTAACACAGAGCAAATAATCACTGCTTCCCCAGACTCTAGAATCTGAAGTCGATTATTGGGGTTAATAATGCCAACTTTCCATGTAACAAATGGTATTTTATAAGTATTTTCAAACAATCTGGCTTTACAAAAAGCCTTGAAGATAAGGCTTCCCAGCCCTTGTTAAATACAAAGAAGCTGAAATTGAGGACAATGAAGTTACTACACCATAAAATGCAATTAAAACATGAGAGAAGCTAAATAAATGCAAGCCCAGGCCAGCCTGCCTCCATCTAAGACAACCTTCCCAAACTGCAGCAGACTGGGGACAGTGTAACAAGATTTCAGCTTTCCTGAGACTTCTGAGGGCCTCGAGGATGGAAGTTTGAACGAGAAAATGCAATCCTGCCACTGCCCCAGTCTAGACCTGCCTTGACCTCCACTGACAAGCCAATTGTTTGGTTAAGGAATCCTAGATAAAGTATCGTTGTTTATATGTAAGTATATAAAATATAAATATACATGAATATATCTGTATTTACATAAATGAAAGAGGAGAAGACATTTATTCAGGCAGAGGAACCTTAGTCTACATCTGCAATTGTGAGCAGTGTGGTCTCCTTCCAACCCCAAACCCAGTGTCCCCTGGCCTCATTGTTCGATTTACTGGAAGAACTTCTGGATGGTTCTATGGAGGCAACGTTGCCTTCCACAGACTCTCAGTCTCACAGAATGTGGTCCTCTCTGGGCCCCAGTAACCATGCTAAAACTTCTTACACAGCGCATGGAGAGGGACCTACACACAAAAGAGGGATTGTCTAAAGATGTCGCTTTCTTTCCAACCCAAATGAAGGACAGAGAATGTAGGAACTTAATTTCCGTAGGCTAACTGAAAGCCATCAATGTCAACCCATGGACCAATAAAGCTAAAAGGAACACAAATGCCATCTAGTCTCTGTATACATCATTTTCCATAAATCAGGTGCAACAAGATTTCTTTCTAAACTCCTAACAGATGATTTCAAAAATTCCCCACCGACTCTCTGTAACACTGCTGGGACCACACTCGATCAATAGGACAATACTGGGAATGAGGCAATGACTTTAACAAAGGTTTTTAAATGTGCGTGTGTGAAGAAAATTTAGGTGCAGGTATCGTGTGCTTTGTTGGAGAGAATACAGCTAGTCACAAACAGAACAAATTCTGTAACCTGGGGACTGCCGATGGACACTGTTATTTAATTGCATGAAATGTATCTGTTGTAGGAATGTTTGATCCTCTGCCAGTTGATTGATTTGTTTCTATTTGTTGCACATTTTCTATTAGTCTCTTTCCGGGAGAAGAGAAGAGGGCGAGGGGGGAAGGGAGGGGCTAGAAACGCCCAAAGCGAATGTTCTTGCCAAGTACTACTTCCGCATCTGCTTTCTAAAGGACGAGAGAGGATGGATCACGAGATCGCAGGGCCGGTTGCCAGGGGCAGGTGTCTTAAGGAGACGCCTCTTTCAAGTAAGAGACTTTCTTGTTTCTTTGCCTAGCTGCTCTCACCCAAGGGACACACAGAGGATTGATGGAGATACCCACTGTCCCTGCTCGTCCCTCTGTGGCTTCTAACCCACATGCAGAGCAGTCACAATGTTCTTTGTTTCCCTACTAGCTACATAAATCTCTGTAGAGACACTCTTCACAGAACCAGCACTCATGTCTTCTCCAGGTTAGTTGCCTCCTGGATGTATAAATGAAATATCAGCAATGATTCTGTGATCCAGTTCTTGGTTGACCTAAACACACCATTTAAAGTGTGTACCTATTAATGTCTTAAATACAAAATATTCGCTTTTGAGAAAAAAGTGAAGTTATAATGTCTTTCATTTGGAGAGAAAGACTGTTGTTCAAGAAATAATAGATAATGGAACTGAAATTCAGGGCAAAGGAGGAAAATTAGACGTATATGTAGATATCTTGTATCCATCCAAATTCTTACAAGATCTCTGTTAAGCATATGCTGCCCAACCTCACACTTCATTTGGTACAAGAAGCTAAATCTCAGCAACAGAAACAATTTCTTACACGTGATATTTGTGCTCCTTTTTAAAAATTTAATTGTACAACCTTTTCACTGACAATTTTACCATTATTTATCAGTATGTAAGATTGCTAGTATCTTTTTTTAAAGATTTTTATTTTTATTATTTTTTTTTATTGGAAAGGTGGATATACAGAGAGGAGAGACAGAGAGGAAGATCTTCCGTCCTATGATTCACTCCCCAAGTGACCGCAATGGCCGATGCTATGCCGATCAGAAGCCAGGAGCCTCTTCCGGGTCTCCCACACGGGTGCAGGGTCCCCAAGCTTTGGGCTGTCCTCGACTGCTTTCCCAGGCCACAGGCAGGGAGCTGGAAGGGAAGCAGGCTGCCGGGATAGAACCGGCGCCCATATGGGATCCCGGGCGTGCAAGGCGAGGACCTTAACCACTTGCGCCATCACGCCGGGCCCCAGATTGCTAGTATCTTAAATAAGCAATTCCTTTGCCAATGCTTGTTCTATTCCCCACTCGGTCCTCTTTAAATATAAATTTTGTTGTATATAATTTGTCATTACAAATGAAGTTATGGGATACATATAGGTAATGCAGATATTATTGTCCTAAGGCAAATGAACATAACCAATGTCTTACCTTGTCACTTGTTTTTCTGTTGTTTGCATACCAAGAGCAGCTAAAAGTCTACTCACTGAACATGCATCCCAAACATATTACTCCCTCCCTCGTGTTGCCCTTTGGACTCCATGAATTGTTTTCCTGATGCCCATGTGTTCTGACTATAGTTGTGATCAAGGATATACAGTGACATTTAGTTCTTATTTCTCTACATGAGGATGTGTTGCTAACCAATCATAATAGACAGTTGAAGGTTTTGAATCAACAGAGAGGAGCAACTTGTTCAAGTTTAGGTAAGCTGTTCCGTGTTCCTAAGGACAATATTCTCACCTGGTAACTATGTATTGTTGCTCAGTGTACCCCTTGAGGTTATGCTCAGTAGTCTGACTATGGAACAACAGGTCAACAGGATAATGTCACCTTAATGGAACTGAGACCAGAACCAACCAAAGCTCCTGTGTTCACACTAAATGTCACTTCACTGCAAACAACTCGCTCTTAGAACCATTCAACTTTTTGTATTTCACATGCCTAATATTCAATTTCCTTTGCAAGCCTAATGTTAACTGGCACTGTGTTGAAAAAAAATCTTAAAAAAAACTTGAGACTACTTCTGAGAGAACACAATGACCAAGGATATATTAGTTAATCAAGGATGTATTAGTGGTTTATCTGCTACCATTCCTTACATCTTGATACTTAATGAACAGTTGTTCTCAGTAAGATTGAAATATTAAAACATTCTAAATACAGCAAATAAAGTAGCTATTATTACATCCTAGTAGGCACACAAGTTGAAATTCTCCTGACTCTGAGTCAAAGTTACTATGCAATATTGGAACTTTTTTCTGAGGGATAATAAATGGAGGCTGCATTCATAGGGCAAGTACAAAAACTACCAGGTGCCCCTTTCATTATCCACATCCTTGTGGAAGGAGTGCTATCAAAGGGCATCAATACAGTTGAAAAAACGATGTCCTTTAATGACTGAAAGCTATTTTTTAATTTAATTTTTTATTTTGTGGTACAATTCCATAACTCTGGGACTTCCCTTACTCCCTCCCTAAAATCCCTGCCCACTTTGGATTTTCCCCCATATTGCAACAATAGTAAAGTCCTTCATATGAAAGCAGGTCATAAGTCCATCATTGTAAGTGTATCCTGACATTGTGGGTATGGACAATGGCAGACAACAGAATGCTGGGCCATCTGTCAAAAGCTACTTTCAATTGCAGTGATTTAACATTGGAGCGAAGATCTGAATGATACCCTTTAAGATCATTAATTTACTACTGGGTACAATAATGTAATGTATTTTTCATAAGTTCCCATCTCTCATATAGTTAGCATATTCTACTCAGGCTGATGTGGAGAGCTATTTTCTATTTTAGGATGCCTTGTGTCACAACTATATAGATGTAGAAGATGTTAAGTTTGTAGTCCCAAACTCTTGTATTAACAGTCCCTTCAAGTAGGATGCTCTGATGCTGTTGTCACTGTCCTTGTTTTGGTAGGTTGACTGTGCTGAGTTCCGTGACCCCAAGATCTTCTGCACCCGGGAATCTAATCCCCATTGTGGCTCGGATGGCCAGACATATGGCAACAAATGTGCCTTCTGCAAGGCAGTGGCGTAAGTGCTACCCTCACTGCACCTGTCCCTTTCAGAGTTAAGATTCAGATAGCTTTATGGGAACATTTTCACATATTCTGACTTCTAATGAAACACTTAAAGATCAACATCAGTTCATAATGAACACATCGTGTCTGACTCATTGATGCCAAATTTTCCTTAAGAGCACGTCAATGGCAGAAGTTGAAATACTAATTAACAGAAGGTTTTGGAAAGGTCGGTGGTACACAGTATAAAGCCAAATGCTGGGAACAGCGTTATGGTACAATGTGTTAAGCCACTGACTGGGATGCTGGTATCACATAATGACTGCTGGTTCAAGTTCTGGTTACTCCACTTTCAATCCAGCTCCCTGCTAATGTGCCTAGGAAATAAGTGGAAGACAGCCCAGGATCTCGTGCCCCTGTCACCCGCATGAGAGACCGAGAAGGAATTACAGGCTCCTGGCTTCAGCCTGCCCCAGCCCTGGCTATTGTTGTCTTTTGAATGTTCAAAAAGACAATGCTTGAGTGTTTTTGGAATAGAATTGTGACACTGTAGCTCCTTTGCCAGTATTCTTCGCATAATTTCTACCTATCCCAGTTCCACGTATATTTACTCTCAGAAAATGAGCAGTTAGTACAGAAATCTAAGGCTTATCAAAATTCTGAGATTGGTTTACTACTGACATTTTTCGTAGGCTGGATGTCACGAGTTCACTAATCTTGGCAGATTCATAGGTGAATACTTAGAGCCTTGCCATAATTACACTTGTTTCCCATCTCTGGTGAATTCTTAAGATATTACACTGAACATGTCTCTTTCTTTCACAGGAAAAGCAATGGGAAGATTAACCTAAAGCATCATGGGAAATGCTGAATTATGGCCAATGTTTGATGCTGGCTTGTTGATACCCATCATTTTTTTTTTCACTTCTGCTTTTACTTTTTCCTAGCAAATGCCTTACATGTATGAAGACAGACCTAGATCAATACATGTCTATTTTCCTTGATTTGTATGTCAATAAATTACATTCTGCAAAAGCATAGATTAATGTTTCTACTTTGACATTATGAATATATGCAGGGAGCCAGCACTGTGGAATAGTAGTGGAATAGTATGGCCATATATTATGCTTTCAATTATTCAAAATATTTAAAGTACTAGGTGACATAATTATTGGTTCTTCCCAATCTAAAAAAAGTGTTTTACATAACAGGCAAACATCTGTCCTCCATAGGGCATAGTTTGTTCTCTCTGGAAGGTTGTTTGACTATGTGATGAATGAAGACATTGGTACTATTTGGCTTCTTAGCAACATCAAAGTCAGTAAATGTTGAATTCATAATGAAAGGTAAATACTCAATGCAAAGGGAAAAGAAACAAAATCTCAAGGACCATATATATATCTGAACAGATAGTCTGGAACATAGTCATGAATTCAGAGTACTAGGTGAAACCTTAGGCCCAGAAAAAAAAATACTAGTAAAGTGCCAAAGCAAATAGCTTCAGTCAAAGAAAATTAAAGGTGTATAACACAATTTTTCCAATCTGCCAGTTAACACTTTTGATGTCCACGTCTTATACTGGAGTATCTGAGTTCAAGTCTCAGTTCCACTTCTGATTCCAGTTTCATGCTAGCTCAGAAAGGCATAAATTACGGGTCAAGTGATTGGGGCCACCTACATCGGAGGTTCAGATTGGATTTCTGTTTCCTGCCTGTTGCCAATGTTTAGGGAATGAACCAGTGGATCAAAGTTCTTTGCCTGTCTGGTTTTTTATTTACTTTTGTTGCTGTTTTTCCTGTTTGTTCTCTTTCAAATAAATAACAAGCAAATAAATGTTTAAAAATACAGAAATTCGGGCCCGGCGCGGTGGCACAAGTGGTTAAAGGTCCTCGCCTTGCACGCCCGGGATCCCATATGGGGCGCCGGTTCTAATCCCGGCAGCCCCGCTTCCCTTCCAGCTCCCTGCCTGTGGCCTGGGAAAGCAGTCGAGGACAGCCCAAAGCTTTGGGAACCTGCACCCGCGTGGGAGACCCGGAAGAGGCTCCTGGCTTTGGATCGGCCCGTTGCGCTCACTTGGGGAGTGAATCATCGGATGGAAGATCTTCCTCTCTGTCTCTCCTCTCTGTATATCCGCCTTTCCAATGAAAAAATAATAAAAATAAATCTTTAAAAAAAAAATACAGAAATTCATTTAAAAAACACAGACCCTTCGATCAATAGCTCAATTTCTAGGCATTTCTCCTGGATTCCAGAAGTATCCATAGTTTGTATGTGTCTACAATAAACACACATATATATGTGTACATAAACTAGGTGTATCTATGTAATTTGTAACAGATATCTTCTTTTCACCTGCCATTTTTGGAAATCCTCATCATAACATTGCATTTTTCTTTCCCTCGCTGTGTCTGTAAATTCATCTCCTTGCTCATTAGGAAAATTAAATCCTTTGAATCAGTTTCTACTGGCTGAAATAGCTGAGCTTTTGTGATGCAAACATGGAAAACCTTATGAATAGATTGATAACAGACAACACTGCCTCTTTGGAATTCCTGCTGCTCTTCATGGTCCACTTCTCCCTCCTGTTTGAACTCTAACTTCCCACCGGATCGAATTCTTGTCCCCTATCCTTCACACAAAAGGCTTATTTCATGACAATTACAAAACATTGAACAAATAGATAGAAGAAGACATTAAAAGATGAAGAAACCATGTTCCTGAATGGGCAGGATCATCAAAATGTCCATATTATCAAAATACACAGATTCAATGCAATTCCAAACAAAATACCAGCAATATTCTTCTCAGAAACAGAAAACAGGAAAATTTATCTAGAAACATAAAGAGACCACGAATAGTCAAAGCTATCCTGGAGAATAAAAATCAAGCTGTAGGAATCACAACTAGACCCTAAGACACCACACTGCAGTGGTCATCCAAAGAGCTGGGTTATGGTACAGAAACTGAGAGTAAGATCAATGGAAAAGAATAGAAATCCTAAAAGAGAACCCAAGTTTGTACAGTCAACTAATTTTTGACAAGAAAACTGATAACAATCCAGGGAGAAAACCTGGTCTCTTCAACAAATGCTGTTGGGATAATTGGATAGTAGCCTGCAGAAGTAAGAGGCAAGACTACTCAACTTTTGCCTTTTACTAAATAGATGAAAGACCTAAATCTGCACCAGAAACCATCGAATTATTATTAGAAGAAAACAGAGGAAACAATCCTCAAGATATAAGAGTAAGGAAAGACTTCTTGGAAACGTCACCAAAGCACAGGCAGTCAGATCCAAAATATACAAACGAGACTACATCAGACTAAGAAGCTTCTTACGACAAAGGAAACGATCGGCAAAGTGAAGAAGCAAACAACAGAATGGGAGAAAATCTGCAAACCACACACCCAATAAGGGACTAACATCCAGGATGTACACAGAGCTTCAGAAACTCAACAACAGCAAAACCACCCTGTGAAGAAAAGGGCTGAGGAAATGAAAAGACATTGTTCAAGACAACAAATTCAAATAGCTACTAGACAAATGAGAAAATGCTCTAGCCCCTAACTATCAGGGAAATGCAAATAAAAAACCACACTGAGGTCCCATTTAACTCCAGTGAGATTGGCTTACATTTAGGTATCTATGAACACCTGCTGGCATGAATGTGGGGAGAAAGGTACCCTCTTCCACTGTTGGTGGGAATATAGGCTAATAAAACCATTATGGAAGTCATTATAGAAAGTGCTGAGAGAAGTGAAAATTGGCCTGCCATATGGCTCAGCTCTCCCACTTTGGGGAATATATCCAAAGGAAATGAAATCTGCATATCAGAAAGTGGCCTGTAATCCTAATTTTACAGTAGCACAATTCATAATAGCAAAGACATGGAAACAACCCCGATGCCTGTCAAAAGAGATATGGACAAAGAAGCTGTGGTATATTTACTCCATGGAATACTACTCAGTCATTAAAAAGAGTGAAATTCAACCATTTGCAACCAAATGGTCCCAACTACAGAACATTATTCTCAGTGAAATAAGTCAATCCCCAAAACAAATATCATATGTTCTCTCTGATAAGAGGCAAGCATCATGCAAAATATAAGGTCAACAGATGTAACACGTATATACAGTTCCTCTAGATAAATAGATGTATAATGAGGCAACTATATCACAGATTGGACATACATTATAGTATACATCTGTACTTCTGATGAAAAGAATTTCAAATGAAATTGCTAACCACACCTGGACAATAGAATGTTTGATTTCACAGCATTGTCTACCCCTGCACTGTCATGACACAAACAGCAGAATGATAGATCTGTGACTTGTCGAAGGACGATAGTATTTTAATATAGGGGAAACTGTGGAGAGGGCACTGGGAAAGGTGGAAGGGGAAATCCCTGGGCCTGAGGAACTACATCATGAAAATGAAAAAATACATATAGATAAAGGAAAAATAAGGGCTTATCATTACCACTTTGCCCTGCCTAAACGCATCTATCTGTATCTGTAGTGACACTGTCTACATCCCTTCTCCTTCCACAAAAATCCTGCATCAACATCTTTATCTTACCATTCACATCAAGGCTTAAGATTTATATCAAGGAATAATATGTAAAAATTTTCAGAATACTATCTCTTGTCTGGTTGCAAGTTACTCTTTGACGATGAAAGGAAAAGCCTATAAAAATAAACTACAATGGACCAGAAATCTTCCATTTCTTGGGAAGAAGAGACAAGTTATAAAAACAAAGGAACGGTCAAAATATAAGATCTGAATGATAGAGGTGTATACATGTGACAAATCCCAGTGAATACACACTGAAGATCTATACATATCATTACAGAAAAATTGTAAAGTGTTGAATGGAAGAGTGTTAATGCTTATAATTTTAAATTGCACCAAATTGGATTAATGGATAAAAGATGAACAGATACATGATCATTAATATTCACAACCTGAAAAAAAGTTGAATACCAAAAAAGCAGATTGTAGGTTTGCAGAGTTGGAGATGGAAGAAAGGGGAGAGAAATGAGTTAGATACAATGAACAAGTCTGATACACACCATGAGGAATATAGTTAACAATGTTGTAGTTATTCTGAAAATGAGCTAAGAGAACAGGTTTTAATAGATGATAATTTGCATTCATTCAGTAATCATTTCACTACATTTTTGTTATTTAAAAATTTGAACATCTTAAATATATAAAATAAAATTTGAAAACAAATCTGGTAAAATATTAGTGGTACAATCTAGGTTTATAAATTAACTGTATAATTATTTAACATTGCTATGTATTTGAATATTTTCATTAAAAAGTCCTCAAAAACTGCAACACAAAAAGAATCTGTCAATAGGGGCAGATACTGAACACTGAATTTATTATGGTTTTGTCTAGGACAGAACACACTGTTTTCAACATGATTTGCACTCCTTGCTCCAATGCGTAAAAGGATGTGTTTATCTGAGTGCTCACATATACTTGTACTTTCAAATGATAATGGGAACATTGTTAAAGCTGACTCATAACAAAACTTATAATCACTAACTGTTCTCACCTTCATACTCCCACTTTGATTGTTGCCAAGGCATTTCTTTCTTAGATCTCTACTTCTATGGTTTTGTGAAGGTAAAGTCACAATACAATACACCACCATTTATTGCTGAAACAAATGCTTTCTGTCCCTGACAATGTGAAAGTTTCTTGTCATGAAACACACACACACACGTACAAATACTTAAAGAAATACAACATGAAAAAAAGACCATAGGAATTAGTTTATAAAACTATAAAAAGAGACAAAAGAGAGACAGAGAGAAACTCACTCCAATCTGCTTGTTCATGTCTCAAATGCCCATGAT